GGCTTAGCGCTACAATTTTTTTTAAATATCTAGTTAATAACTAAGTATTTTTTTAATAACATCACATATTTCATATAGTCGTTTCGTTAAGGTCCAATTAAAATTAATGTTAAGTTAAATTTTCATGCAATATTAAAATCAGGGCATGTAAGTGGCTTTGTAAATCCGAAGTTTTGGGTTAAGTAAAGCCTTCAACTAACTTCCATATAATATCATCAAACTTTTTTTTAGAAATTTAAATATACTCAAGAAGCATTTTAGATAGCACAGAAGATAACAACAGATAATTAAGCTGATATTAGGCAAAAGTGAATTTACAGCCTTTGTGTCCCACTGATGGGCTCAAGCTTGCTCTCAATTCTACTGGTAGGGTTATAGAACAATAAGTATTTAATACAATTATAATTTAAAAAACAGTGCGTGTTTGCAGAGTTCATATATACTTAAAAAAATTGCTCTAGGCCTAAAAAATAGCCAGATGTAGTATGGTATAGCTTATAGTTATTTTCAAATTTTAATGTCTTATGTCCAGTATTCTTTGGCCAAATCTGCTGTTTTAAATAAATTTAAAAAGCCAACGCAAAGTAATAAAATTGATAATATAGTTGTATAAAATTCTTATTAATAATACAATAATTAATATTCATATGTAATTCTTATTAATACATAACGATGAAGGCTGCTCACCTTTAACGTGGCAGAGCGACCACTATTATGACTGTAGTTCAAATAGATTGGTGCAAACGGGAAAGAATCACGTTTTCGCACATACATACGAATACGTAAAATAACAGCTGTTGTTTAACTTTCCGCTATGAAAGTCAATGATTTTCAATAAATGGGGAGGTTATTGTTTTCACCCGGGTTTTGGAAAATCGAATTCTCATCAGATCTCGACGTTTCGAGATCCTACTAAGCTATTCTGGCTTTTTTGCGATGGTGTCTGTATGTGTGTGCGTGCGTGCGTGCCAGGGTGCGTGCGTGCGTGCCAGGGTACGTGCGTGCGTTCTTGGGTGCGTGCGTGCGTGTGTACGTGCATGCCTGCGTGCGTGTGTGTGTGTGTGTGTTTGTGTGTGTGTGTGTGTGTGTGTGTGTTAACTTAAACCGAACTTTCAAGGTTGGTTTTGAGTAAACCTCAAAAATTCGAGTATATTTTATTTTCAAAAAGTAGTTTTCTGGAAATAAATTCCACACACTTGCTTTGATCAATTCTACAATGAAATGAGCTTTTCTATTCAAAAAACGACGTCTGATAACGACGGGGATAAAAATTTATATATTATTGCAAGATTAAACCGTTATGTGAGGATATCTACTCATTCACATTTACATCATTCACATTTAAGTTTAAAATGTAGTGACGGTGTAAGTATATCCACTACCCTATATCATTGCGTGGGTGCCGTAAGAGGCGACAGAGGGAAATACATCAGGAGATGGGCAGCAGCATCTTCCTAATAACGACCAAACAAGTCTGTTTTCATTTGTACCATTCTATTGTTTCGCATAAATTATGGCAGAGATTATATTACATCGTTCCATGAGTGCATCATAGATCGATGATTTCATGAGTACATCATGTCAAGGTAGACTTAGACTCAGGGTGTTAAATGTTTTAATTTTTATATGGCAATAAAATATATACTAGAACTGAATTAACTTATTTTAACACCGTTTCATGGGTGCCGTAAGGGGCGACAAGGGGCACCAAACTAGGAGAAATTAAAAAAAACCACCTGCCAAGCGTGGCAACCATGGAATGGAAATCTATGAAGTAATCTAATTGGAAGGCCTATGTACCCATATGTTGACAGTGGATTTTTGATAGGCTGATGTGATAAGTAAATAAGGTTACTGAGCAACTTGCCTGTTGTTACATAAAAATAATCAACAGTTGTTAGCTTTTCTAACTTTCTACTCGATAAAGAAAAAGTATACAAGGTTTGGTTTTGTTGACTTTGTGTTAACAACTTAAGTTTCTGCGATGTTGTCTTGTAGTCACTTGTTTGAATTATTTGGACGTCTTCCGCTTCCGTAAGTTTTAGTACTTTAACGTAATTAAGATAATAAATTGCTTGCAAATTAACGAAACTGAATAAAATGGTTGAAATTCGACTGCAATTCATAAAAAAATTTAGTTTGTTATTAAGCAAGTTGCGTTTTACTTTCAACTCTCAGCTACTACTGCCAATATGAAAAATTTTATATCCCTTTTTTAGCACATCGCATGCACGGAAGAGTGTGAGATATGGCGTAGCTAATGTTTATATGGAGGAGAGAGCAGAAAACTAAAATGATATATAATATGTATTACAAGTACACAGATTAAATAAAATTAGGTATATGCATTGTTGCGTCTAAAGAAAAACATGGAATATCTCACGGCCTATACTGGCCCTTTATTATTTGGCGGCAAAAATAAATAAATATTACCTATCCAGGCTGAGTCCTAGACAGAATATGAGGACTCCTTTTCCCCCAAAATCGTCCCAATATTACTTGGGACGATTTTGCACCACAAAGCAGGGTTCCGAGCTAACTTTCTGTATCTTTTACCACATCGTCACTTGTTATTTAATCTTCACATATTCAATATTTGTCCATCAACGAACATATCATAAATGTCATTAAATAAAATCTGTATGTTGTTATAAAATTAAGGAATATAATATTGCTTATAGATCTATATAGACTATACGTTTCATTCTGTAATACAGTAAAATCATTTCTCTCTCCTGAACATGAAAACTGCAAAGCATGCGAAACCACAGGAATTAAAAAAAGGAAAATTCAACCTCGATGCGTCGCGTGCGAGACACTAGCAACAGCCTCCTAATTTCCATATATGGAAGGAAAGATTGTCCTGTGGTGAGGTACGGGAACACGGTGTAAATGTATGCAGGTTCCTAGCCCAGTTTCTTTAATCTTTGGCCGTGTAAGGAAATGTGGAGATCTCCCGCTGCGCAAGGTGTTCAGCTCGGGGAGCGGCCAATGCTCCGGGTGTTATTTCAAAGCTGTTCTATACATAGCGCGGTAGCTTCAGAACTTTGATAGCGCAATTTAGGGTTCGGTGCGTTTTTGTTTGTGGTGAATATGATATATTACTTAGAAGATTTTTCATCAAGTAGGGAAGAAGGACATCTATACCCTTCTGTAGTTGGATGGGAATTATTTCATCTTCCTCGCTGGTTTTATATGGTTTAAAGGAATCAACAGCCCACTGCAACAGATTTGGCCTTATTATCTATGCAGCCCTACACCAGTTCACATTACAAGCCCTTCGTAGGGCTCTGAAAGAATTCAAGGCAAAAGACTTCACTACTAGTGAAACAGAAACTCCAGTGTTTCTGTTTCACTAGTAATAAAGTTATCATCATGTGTCATCAGTACACTTCCTGAACACGTGTCTACATGTCAGCACACTAGATGAAGAGATGCATCAAGCAATCAAAGACCACTTCGCAATCGAGGCGCTGGGCGTGCAAACGCGGAGACCCACCACAGACTCAGAAGGAAGAGCACTCGCCATCCTAGAGAAGACCTGCAGAAGACTTGAAGATGGACGACTCGAAGCTGGACTCTTATGGAAAAATGAAGATGAACAGATGCCTGAGAGCTACACGTCTGCCAAGAACCGGTTGTTCAATATTGAAAAGAAGGACCCTCAGCTGAAGACAGAATATATCAAGTAGATCCAGCATCTTATCGACAGCAAGTATGCAGAAGAAGCACTTATGACACAAAAAGACTTCAAGAAAAAATGGTACCTCCTTGCTCACTTCTCCGTGGTACATCCACTAAAGAAGAAGATAAGAATCGTCTTCGACGCTGCAGCCAAGTCAAAGGGAAGAAGCCTCAACGATGCTCTACTGCCAGGAACATATCTACTACAGTCACTCTTCGGGATACTACTAAGATTTCGACAGGGTCCGCTAGCTGTGGCAACCGACATCAAGGAAACGTTTCTTCAAGTTCGCATTCGACCAGAAGACAGAGATAGCCTGAGGTTTTTGTGGCGCGGGGCTCGACGCGATGTGCCTCCGAAGGAGTATAGGATAACACCAGTTATCTTCGGCGCAACATCATCTCCGAGGACAGCAATCTATGTGAAGAACCGAAACGCAGCGGACTTTAAAGAGCAGTATCCAGAGGCAGCAAGGGCTGTCGAGCTAAACCATTACATGGACAACTACCTGCACAGCTTCCATTCAGAAGAGGACTTTAGAAAAGTGACGACGCAAGTAGACTTCATACACAAGAAGGCAGGCTTCAAACTCAGGGGATGGGCGTCAAATCAACCCGAGCTGCTTCAAGACGTGAAGATCGACGCTATTGAGAAGACAGAAATGGACCTAGGCGAGACGGAAGAGAAGACACTAGGACTGCGCTGGTTCACGAAAAGGGACCCCATCGGCTTCAGCGCAAACCTCCGAAACACGCCAGATGAAATAGCAAGGGGACTCAAGGTGCATACGAAGAGAGAAGTCACCACCACGCAGTAATGTCAACATTTGATCCACTTGGTTTAGCATCACCAGTTCTCATCCAAGGCAAGAAGCTGCTTCAGAACGTATGGCGAAGTGGCGTCGGTTGGGATGACGAAATAAAAGAAAGGGAGTACGAAGCATGGAAAACCTACCTGAAGAAGATGAAGCTGCTCCAAGGCCTGCAAGTTCCGAGATGCCTGGCGCCACATCGCACCGAAGGGGAGCTACACACTTTCGCGGATGCGAGCGAGTTGGCGTACGCAGCGGCAGTTTATTGGAGGACAGAAGATAAAGATGGGACTTATCACGTCAGCTTAGTGGCAGCAAAGGTGAGAGTCACTCCACTGAAGCCAGTGTCCATCCCAAGACTAGAAATGCAGGCAGGCCTTCCTAGGAAGCAGACTGTCTCATTCAGTAGAAGAGGAATTGGACCTGAAAGTAACAAAGAAAATATTTTGGACAGACTCTAGCATCGTACTTTCCTGGATAAAAACAGACCCGAGAACCTTTAAGATGTTCGTGGCTCATCGCTTGGCGGAGATAGAGGACCTCACCAAACAGCAAGACTGGAGATGGGTGCCTACAGCGCAGAATCCTGCAGATGACGCAACGCGCGACGTACCAGAAGACTTCGACTACAACCACCGATGGTACACCGGACCAAGCTTCCTGAAAAAAGAAAAGGCACATTGGCCTGCACCAAGAACCTTCAAGAAGACAACCACCGGCGAAGAAAAGGCAGCGGACGTCGCAGCAACAGCACAAACATCTCATCCATCACCAGACCCCGAGAGATTCTCTTCATGGAAGAGGCTTTGGCGAGCCACAGCGAGAGTACTGCAGTTCTTACAACTCTGCAGAAAAAGGGAGAAGGTCAACGTCTGCAAAAATAATCCCACCTGGAAAATGGCACAAAGAAAAGGGACGAAGACTGTAGAGAAGCAACACAGATCTTCGAAAATAATAGAAATGAAATATATACCGCTGGACACCGAACTACTTGATCAAGCTGAAACTCTTTTGATGAAAAGAAGCCAAGACAAAAGTTTCAGAGAAGACATCAAGTGCCTTCAGCAAGGGAAGCAATTAGAGGGCAGCAGTAAATTGAAAAGGCTCGACGTAGTACTAGAAGACGGTATCCTGGCGCTGAAAGGAAGAATCGACGCACACACAAGACAAAGACAGACAAGACAACAACGAATTTCAACCCTTCCCTCGGCATGTCGGACGTGACCGAATTTTTCCCTGGCTAATCGTGGCACCAAAATGGATTAAATTCGGTATTTTGTGAAAAACAATGAAAATCTCCGTTAATGGAACTATCTGTAGGTTTGAAAGGGGCTTTTCCAGCATCACCAACACCCTGCAACACTACGCCAAGAGAACGCTTTGGACCACCCCAAGGAATGCCACAAGAGCTTTGTGGCATTCCTTGGGGCGGTCCAAAGCCTTTGTTCAGTAGTGGACTTGTGAAGAGCTGTAATCATGAATAATGATGATAAAATAAAACAAACTGTTACATACTTAGGCTAAAGTAAAAAATACCATGCTTCGACGGAGCGATTTAGCACCATTTAGTACATACATGGCAAACGTTTTCACATTTCAGGCAAAGAGCCAAGATTGAAAACAGTTGCAATCATAACGATTATATAAATTCAATCGCAAATGTCGAAACTGGTCGAAACAAATCTTGCAGAATACAATAACTGTAGTAATACTAAATACAGAATTCCAAATTTAATGGTTGAGTTAAACATTAAATGCTATAAGAGTAATCGAGTAGTGAAAAGATAGTTTTGAAGTGAAAGAGGAAGAAGAGGAGTTTTTATGAGGGTCATACAACTACCTAGAACCGTGGTAGTTCAGATGGTTAACGCTGGCTGTAAATTTCTCATAGTACCGGAGAAACCCAGGTTCAATCCCCGCCGGCAACAATGAAATTGTTAATTGCAATTTTAAGTTCTGATTTGCTACGTGCTCGGCGGTGAAGGAAAACATCGTGAGGAAACCTGTATGCCTGAGATTTAAGAATAAAAATATTTCGAAGACATGTGAAGTCCACCAACACGCGTTGGAGCAGTGCGGGGGACACTTTCTTGCACTAAAACCCCCCTCAGAAATCAGAGCAAACTTGTACCCAGCTGTGGGACGTAGTGAAAAGTAAAGTTACAGACTAGGCTAGGCATAACTGTTAACTTTTTAGTACTCTATTACTATTATCCTTGGTGAATATGATGGAATATTACCAAATCAGTGAGGCTACAAGCTAGATGAGGGTACAGACCCTAAGAGACCTACCTTACTTCAACGGTGGTGAAAACATAAAACGAATCCATTGCAACCTGTACCGGGATATTTCCTAGCCCTCATTTTTGATCTCCTCGATTTTTGTGTCGCCTATATTTACTAGCATTATTTGCTACTGACGTGATGACGCCTGGGCGGCAAGCACTGGTGACTCGAGGATTCGTGAGCGTACCCGTGTTTTTTCGATAGAAAATGAAGGTTTTAGTCATAGCCCTACATAAACAAACATTTTAACCGGGATATGTATGCATTAGATACTCGTACATCTTCTTTCAAAAAAAGAACGAGAAAATATTTCCGTAGAAGCACGTATATGCCCAGGGCATTGTTATATATCTCACACAGTTAAAACCTCTGACAAAATTCTGAACTTATTGGAGTGCCAAAAATCACGCTGGAGGATAAAATAATTTATTTATTATCTATCATTTTTAGTTACAGAATATAATAAGCACTAAGCATAAAATAGAAAGGAGGGAATTTATTTTTAAGGCATGTTTTTTTCTCTGAGCTACAACTTAAGTAGCCGTGGTAGCTCAAATTCCACGTTTCCATCTCCACGGGCACGAATGAAATTGTTAATTGCAATTTTAAGTGCTGATTTTCAACTTGCTTGGCGGTGAAGGAAAACATCGTGACGAAAACTGAATGTCTAAGAAATAAGAAAAAAATATATTTTGATGACATGTGAAGTTCGCGAATACGCATTGGGGCAGCGCGGCGGACGTGTCCTTGTCCTAAAAAAAGTAAAAACCCTCTCAGAAATGAGAGGAAGCCTGTGCCCAGTAGTGGGACGTATATAGGCTACATCCTATATACGTTCATCTACAACTTTAACTTAACTTTAACAACTTAAGTAGTTTTTATTTTTTACTTGCTTGTTCTGAATTCGTCTAGAAATAACTGTGATTGCGTTATATTATTGGAATTCGTTAGACTTTACTCCTTAAAAATCTTTATTTCTTCCTTCATTCATTACCTCAAAAATTCATTCCCTCTTTGCGTAAAGAGCTTCCACTCACTTTATTAAATGAAATAATATATTATCAAGTAAAAAAGCTAAAAGAACACTAAAGGAGTTTCTAATCAAATAACTAGATGGTCGGTATGGTATGTTATTGGTATGTTGTATAAGTAGTATAATATATTAATAGTATTGTTACGAGCTTGAGGTTCGTGACAATAAAAATTGCCGATAAAATTACCTAAATTAACACTTTAATTTACTTTACACAAATTAAAACTTAAAACACTAATAATTAAACACACTAATTCACTTTATTCCGCTCCGAAGCTTCGCTTGTCTCGCCAAATCTAATACTGCCCCGATCGCATCTTGCAGCGCCTATATATACAAATTAGCAATGAAGCATCCGGAATATTCAAGTAAATGCGGGCAAAGCGACGGGTGTTCGAGTGTAGATTTTCTAGAAACTTAGTTCTTCGGATGGCGCTGTCGGTTGAAAGATTTGTGATGTCATTTTCTGCAAAGCTCCCCTCGCTCTCGTTCCTGACACTAGATGGCGCTAGTGTATGACGTTGACTTATTCACGCAACACTGCCCCCTCCTAAGACATGCTCGTCCCGAGCATTATCGGTCCCATAATAACGCGCCAAGCGATCCACATGGACGATCTTAGGAGTCCCTCTTGCGCCTTTCTGTATCCGGTAGGTCACATCGTTGATCCTGGTTACAATCCGGTACGGGCCGTCCCATTTAGCTTGAAGCTTAGGAGATTTCCCTTTGCTGCGAACTGGATTGTGCAACCACACAAGTGAACCTTCGTCGAACCCTTTATTGTTCATTTTGCAGTCGTACCGGGTTTTCATTTTCTCAGACATTTGCTGGCCCGATTGTCTGACGTGCTCATAAATGTCATTCATTTTGTTCCGCAAGCCATTTGCATAATCGGTTATACTGGGTGGGGCATCAGGTGGTATCCCGGTGATCAGGTCTGCAGGCAGCCGTAATTCTCTTCCAAAGTTTGCGAAAGCTGGTGTCACTGCTGTACTTTCGTGAACAGAACTTCGATATGACAACAAAAACGGTTGTATGTGCTTGTCTCAATCTCGTTGCCGATTGTCTACAACTTTTGCTAGGTACCTCTCCAATGTCTGATTAAATCGTTCCACTATTCCATCAGATTGCGGGTGATAAGAAGTCGTTCTTGTTTTATGAGTACCCATAACTCGGCAAGTTTCCTGGAATATTTGAGACTCAAAATTCCTTCCTTGATCGATGTCAATCTCTAAAGGTACTCCAAAACGACAGAAGACTTCATGAACTAGCTTATCAGCAACTGTTGAAGCTTCTTGATTTGGAATGGCGAAGACTTCTGGCCACTTAGTGAAGTAATCCATCACAACCATGAAATACTTGTTACCGCTTTCACTCTCCGGAAACGGTCCCGCCACGTCAATGGCTATTCTCTCCCATGGTGCACTAACATTGTACAACTTCAATGCACCTCTACTACGAGTCTGAGGTCCCTTTACAGCCGCACAACTTGTACATTTGCGACACCAGTCCTCGACATCGTTTCGACAGTGGACCCAATAAAACCGTTCTCGGATCTTCAGTAGAGTTCGTTTAACTCCCAGATGGCCTCCGGAACAATCATTATGGTACAGCTGTAGAACATCCGGTACTTTAGCTTTAGGGACAACCATTTGCAAATGACAGCTGTCTCCCCTAACATTTTCCCATTTACGGCACAGAACTCCATCCTGAAGCAGCAAGCTGTCCCACTGGGCCCAATAGCTTTTAGTGGTCGAACTCATTGCTGAGACGTCGCTCCACTTAGGCTTGGGAGCACTGGCATTTATCCATTCCAGAATCGGCTTGATGTCCGGATCTTCCTGCTGTGCATGTTGTAAGCTGTCCTTCCATTCGTTGCTGAGGTGGTCCGTCCTGAGCATCCTCACGGATACCTCTTCCTTACTCTCTTGCCTAGTACAATGGTTGCAATCTTCAGGACAAGGTCTTCTTGATAATGCATCTGCGTTGCCGTGAGATTTTCCGCTGCGATGTTCGATCTCAAAGTCGTATTCCTGCAGTAGTTCAATCCACCTCGCAACATGTCCTTCTGGATTTTTAAACTGCAATAGCCATTTTAGTGCAGCATGGTCAGTTCGTAAGTGAAATTTTCGTCCCAGAAGATATTTGCTAAAATGCTGCAACGACTTTACCACAGCTAGCAATTCGCGTCTTGTGACACAATAGTTCCTTTCCGGTTTTGACAACGACTTGCTGAAGTACGCTATCACGACCTCTTGGTCACCATTCCGCTGAGACAACACACCGCCAAGTCCTATATCACTTACGTCTGTGTCAACTATAAAATTCTTTGCTTGCATCAGGGTATCCCAAAATAGGTGTTTTGCACAGACGGTCCTTGAGCTCCTGGAATGCGATATTGCAACTTTCATCCCAGCAGAAATGTCGCTTCTCCTCGGTTATCTTGTGCAGAGGTTTGGCTATATCTGCAAAGTTCTTCACAAATCGCCGGTAATAGGAGCACAAACCCAAAAATGCTCTGACCTGCGTCTTGTCTTTTGGAACCGGCCAATCCTTGATTTTCTCTGGATCTGTGCGGATACCTTCTTCCGATACTACAAACCCCAAAAAGTTAACTTGCCGTTGGAATAGTGAACATTTCTTCGGGCTCAACTTGAGGTTGGCACTCTGAATCTTCATGAGCACGCGTTCCAGATTTTGAAGGTGTTCCTCAAACGTACGGCCTACGATGATGATGTCATCTATGTAGACCAGACAGGCATCGCCAATTAGCCCCTTAAGTACAAGTTCCATCAGCCTTTCAAACGTTGCTGGAGCATTGCACAACCCAAACGGCATTACTTTAAATTGCCACAGACCCTTTCCCGTCGAGAACGCAGTTTTCTCCTTGTCCTTAGGGTCAATT